CTCTCACCGCGGAGGCTGCTGGGAGGTGTAGTCCGAGAAGGGATCACGGAACCTACCCGCGCTCCCATTGGTCGGTTGGTACCACGTGGTACGCCGCGAAGGCTGCTGGGAGGTGTAGTCCGAGGTATCACTACCCATAGCACCTCTAGCGTCGTACTACACCTCCCAGCACCCCCCGCGGCAAGATGCACCAATTTCGCCCCTTTTCGCCCCAAATTCCACTCCGCTCCCCCCGTTCCAACCCGAACCTCACGCCACCTCGTGTGCCTCCCCACCAACAAAACACAGCGCACACAAGCTTCGTTTTTGTCATTTTTCCCTTTTTTCCATGTTTTTGTTGCTATTTTTTTTCCATTTTTGTAGGGTTTTTTTGTGGTTTTTTTTTTTAAAGGCTGGGCAAGAGGTAAGATAAAAAAAGGGCATTTTTGGCCTCTGAATGTTTGTGATAGATCAGGTCGGGGAGCTCTGCTCGCTGGGAGATCAGGGGAAGTTGGACATGATCAATTACAAACTTTATATTCCAAGAGATATTTGATATCCACAAAGAAAGAAGGCAAAAGGAAGATTTGAGGCATAAATCCCATCCAAAGCCTCCATGTCCTACCTTTAAATAATGAAAACATACAAAAGTGGCCCAAACTTGTGCAAAACTCTTAATTTGCTCAAATATTTTACAGAATCAGTACAGGAAAACGTAGAAATCGGTAAAAAAACTTCAAAATAAGAACCCTGGAGGGATTTGTCCCATTTTAGCAACAGGAATTTTGCTGTCCCAGGGTGGAAATCTTGGCTCACGTGGGGAGTTGGGTGCTGTCACCTCCCTTTTCCCCAACATAAGGCAAACCCGACCCTGAAAACACACTGAGATAGACAAAAATGATGTAAACGAGTCATTTCTCCCCAAAAAAATCCCCCCTGGGGATACCAAAAGCCAAAGGCTTTATCCACGAGGCTCCTTGAAAACAGAGGCTGGAGCTGTGGCAGCTCCAGAATTCCCACACTTTTGGCTTATTTTGGGGGTTTTCCAGCCGTTTCAAGTCCATTATTCCACCGCTCTGAGAGAAAACCCCCAAAACCCCTTAAAAAAAAACCAACCCCAAAACAGATGATATATTGTGCAATTCCTGCTCCAGCTCCAGAGCGGCAGTGAAATCCCTGCAATTTGCTGTGTTCCCAAAAAAAACCCCCATAAAATAAAAAACCCAAAACTTGGGTTGAAGAAACACATTAAAAGAGGAGGAAAAACCAAGGCAGAAGGCGGTGGTGATCCAGCATCAGGATTTGGGGGAGTTTTGGGGTTGTTTTTTTTTTGAAGGGATTTGGATGCTCATTCCATGATTGGAAGCCCTCGGGGGGTGCTGTGGGAATAAATAGAGGGGGTGAGGCTCGGGGGGTCCCTGGGCTCAGGGGGTCTCGTAGCCCACGCGGTAGCCAGGCTGGGTGGGCAGGTGGGCAGCACAGAGCCACTGGGGCCCTGCACGCTGTAGCTGGGACTCATCCACGCTGCTGACGACTGGGTCTGGCTGTGGAGAGGGAAAAACAGCCCTCAGGAGTGGGTGGGGAAAATGGGGAAGGGGTTTAAGAGGGAATTTGGGGGGTTGGGAGGGGGTCACTGTCTTCCATCAGGATGGGGATCTGATCTGAGGCTCTGCGTCGCTGGAGAAAATGTTTGAGGGGCTGCAGGGCACAGGGGGAACACACCCAGGGGGGAAAGGGTCAGCAGGGTCACAGTGTCACCCCCCCAGGGGTATAAAGGGGAGAAAAAGGTGCAACAGGGTCACAGTGTCACCTCCCCAGGGATAAAAAGGAGAGAAAAAGGTGCAACAGAGTCACAGTGTCACCCCCCAGGGGGTAAGTAAAAGGTCCAACGGTCACAGTGTCACCCCCCAGGGGTAAAAAAGGTCCAACAGGGTCACAGTGTCATCCCCTGAGATATAAAGGTCCAACAGATGACAAAAAGTTTCCACAGGGTCACAGTGTCTCACCCAGGATAAGGAGGTGACAAGAAGGCCGCACAGTGTCCCCCCCAGGACAGGAAGGTCCCAGAGTGTCCTCCCAGGATAAGAAGGTCCCAGAGTGTCCCCCCCCAGGACAGGAAGGTCCCAGAGTGTCCCCCCAGGACAAGCAGGTGCCCCAGGCTCACCCGAATCCCTGCTGGCTCCAGGCCTGGCCGTAGACGCCGTAGGGAGGAACTTGCCATCCGTTGGGCACGTACTGCCCGAGCTGGGCACTGCCATACCACTGCCCCCACTGCCCGTAGGGCTGGGGGTAGCTCAGCTGGTTCTGGGGGACAGAAAGGGGTAGGAGCCATGGAATCAGGGATGGAATGGGTTGGAGGGAACCCAGAGCTCACCCAGTGCCACCCATTCCCACTAGCACAGGTTGCTCCGAGTCCTATCCAATCTGGACAGGAACACTTCCAGGGAACACCACTTCCCTACCCTCACAGGGCAGAATTTCTTCTCAATATCCCATCTAAATCTCCCCTCTTATGTGGAATAATATGGGTTGGAAAAGCCCTTTAAGACCATTAAGTCCAACCATTCCCCAGCACTGCCAAGGCCACCACTAACCACGTTCCCCACTGCCACATCCACGTGGCTGTTAAATCTCCTCAGGGATGTGACTCCACCACCTCCCTGGGCTGGACAGTCCTTTCCAGGAAGGAATTTTCTCAGTATTCAACCTGAACCTGGCACAGCTTGAGGCCATGTCCACTTGTTCCCCGGGGCAGAGCCCAACCCTCACCTGGCAGCACTTTCCGGCAGGAAAATTTACATTTTCCAGCATTCCCAACAAACATCACTTCCCAGAGGAGAATCCCTGACCTGCTGCACGGGGCTGACCATGTCTGGTGTCTCCTTGCCCCAGTAGCACTTCACCACGTGGCCCTCGATGCTTGTCCCGTTGACGGAGACGATGGCATGAGCTGCACTCTCATGGGAATTAAACCTGTTGGGAAAGAAGTTGGGATAACTGGAATGACCCACTGAGTGGGAACAGCTGGGAATAACCCTGAGGGTCCCCACTAGCCCAGGATGGGTTTGGGTGTGCCAGAACCAGCTGGAACTGTCCCTGTCCCCATGCAGAGGGTCATGGAGTTTTCCTGTTTCCTTGGTGGGACTCTCCCTAAATTAATCAGAAAATCCAGCAAGGAGAGAAGTCAAATTATAATTTTTGTTATCTGGAGCCTCATCAACACAGAGATGAGGATGGGTTGGGGAAAGAATCAGACTTGAGTGACTTCAGTGACTCCTGAGCTGACACAACACACTGAGCTCCTGCACGAATTCCAACTATTTTCCCAGGTTCTTCCTGCTCCTCACAGCCCTCACTCCCCTCCTCAGAGCAGAGGGAGCTGCTGCCAGTGTGCCCTGCAGCCTGGCACACTCCCACCCTCCCTGCCCAATCCCCCCCAGGCACACCTACCTCACGAAGGAGTAACCTTTGTCCGGGAACACTCGGATCTCCATGATCTGCCCGAAGGGGGAGAAGGTCTGGCGCATCAGCTGCTCTGGAGCAGGAAGGACAGGGAGCAGAGTGAGGCACACACAGTGCCCCAGGGAGGGGGTGGCACAGGGGGAGGCCACACGTACCTGTCAGGCCCGAGGTCACCCCCCCACAGTACACGGTGCAGTTGCTGGGGCTGGACTGGGTGACCACGTCGTCGTACGACAGCTGTTTGGTGTTTGCTGGAAGAGATGGGACAGGGATTTGCGGCGGATCCGACGGGAATTGTGGGGGAATTGTAATCCTGACTGGCATGACCTGTGAACACCTGTTGAGGTGTGAGACACCTCATTGAGAGTCTTCTCTGGGGAGACCTCAGAGCCCCTTCCAGTGCCTAAAGGGGCTCCAGGAGAGCTGGAGAGGGACTTGGGACAAGGCATGGAGGGAAAGGACAGGGGGGAATGGTGTGAAACTAAGAGGGGACATTTAGATGGGATATTGGGAAGAAATTCCTCCCTGTGAGGGTGGTGAGGGGCTGGGATGGAGTTTCCAGAGCAGCTGTGGCTGCTCCATCCCTGGAAGTATCCCAGGCCCGGTTGGAGCACCCTGGGCTGGTGGAAGGTGTCCCTGGGTGGAACTGGTTAGGCTTTAAGGTCCCTCCAACCCCAACCACTCAGTGATTCCATGCCTCAGGGGGCTGGGAGAGGCACACAGCTGCAAACCTACATTCATACGTGCTCTTTGGAGCTGGAGGTTTCCTCGTGGCCCAGTTTGTTCGGATCTGCCTTCCCCCGAGCCACTGCCCACCCATCTGCTGGATCGCGTTCTCCGCGTCCTGTGGGGGAGAGAACAAACCCTGTCAGCACCTCTTCCTCCTGGGGTACAGCCAGGGGGGTGACATCTCTGCCCTCCTGACTGAGCAGCCCTGGGAGTGCTCCAGGATAGGCTGGATGGGGTTTGGAGCACCCTGGGCTGGTGGGAGGTGTTCCTGCCCGTGGCACGGGGTGGGACTGGATGAGTTTTATGCTCCTTCCAACTCAAACCATCCCAGGATTCTATGATTTCTATGGGTTTATAAACAGAGGGAGCAGCTTCTACCCATGACAGGCAGGGAAAGCACAGTTGGAGAGAGACTGGGACTGACAACACCCTGTGGACAATCATCTGGAGGAGCTTGAGACTGTGCTGCAACTCATCCAGGTCGTGAGGAAGGGAAGAAAGGGATCTCATCCAGAGAGTGAAGAGGGAAAGCAACACCTTATCCCTCTAGCAAAGCAGGAAACTAACACTTCATCCCTCTAGTGAAGAAGGAAATGAACACCTTATCCCTCTAGCAAAGAAGGAAACAAACACCTTATCCCTCTAGTGAAGAAGGAAACAAACACCTTATCCAGTTATCGAAGGAGACAATGGAATCTTACTCAATTACTGAAGGAGATGAAAGGATCTCACCCAGTTACTGTGGAAGGAAACCAACATCTTACCCACTTATTGAAGAAGGAGACGAAGCCATAGCCTTTAGACTTCCCTGTTGCCATGTCCTTGACCACCCGTGCATCCCTACAAAGCACAAACCACAGCCACGTCAGCCCTCCCAGCCCAACTCCCCCTGAGCCCCACGAGCCTCATTTTCACCTCTCACCTCTGCTAACCTCACCAGCAACACACTGAGCAAAAACCTCCTTATTACCACACGACTTTACTAAGGCTTTGCCAGGGAGCAGCAAAGCTACACTGAGCTGTGTGGACATGCCAATCAGTGGCCTCTCTCAGAAATGTCTGCACTTTGCAGCTGGTTCCTGCTCCAAAAGGCTGTTGGGACACAGAGCATGGCCAAAGCAGCTGCTGCAAACAACTTCAGGCTGATGTGAGCTGAACAGCTCTCCTGGCCCATGCAGTGTTTATTTGCCAACACATTCTACCTGCTCATCCCAAATCTTAAGTAGGACTGATCCATTCCATCCTGCCACGTCTGGCACAGACTCCCTAGAGCCCTCCCTCTGCATTCCCTGGTGGCCATCAGGTGCAGTCAGGCTGAAGTAAGACCACAGAGAGCTGATTTGTAAACCCTCTAATAAAAGGAGATCGAACTGCCATTAAAAGAGGAATAAACTGAATTCTGAGGGGGGGAAAAAAAACCCCAAAACAACAAAAAACCAAACTTACTTCAATTAAATGCTTCACTACCCAACACTCCAAAGCACTCTATGTTCTTACATCACCATCAAGAAACTCCAATGTCCAGTACAGACAACACTACAAGGAAAATTAATGGTTTACGTTTGGAGCATGGAATGGAAGAACTGCCACTCACTCTGCTACACCCTGAGGAGGACACACTGGGAAGAAAAGTGTCCTGTGTGTGAGACACACTGGGACCAGCACAGCTCCTTGACATGAAGGGCTCAGCCCAATCTGGAAGGCCTTAGGTCAAGGGCTGATGCTGCCCCAGTGCCCCAAAAAAGCTTCATCTTGTGGGAAATGGGAATTTAACTGGATAAAAAACCTACTGGCTCTGGGTGGCTGTCACCCCACAGCTCCCCAAAACCTCACACCCTCAGGGGATGTGATGTGCAAAGGGACTCAGTGCAGTGCCCAGCACCTGAGTGGGGCAGGGAGTGAAACCCCAGGATGAGGAGTCTGGATTTTCCAGCACTGCTCTGCCAATGAGGCAAGGAGGATAAAGCCAAAGCAAGCTGGATGCCACTTTTCTAGGAAAGCAAAGTGGGATAAAGGACTGGGGTCAGAGGCCTCAGGTCGCTGGGTGAACACGGAGCGTGTGTCCCTGCACTGCCACAGCTCTCAGTGCTACTTACTCCAACACAAAGTTGTCTCCACTTGGGAGAGAAAACTTGGAGTTATGTGTCCTAGAAAGTGACTTACGATATCCTTCCGAAGGGAGCAAAAGCTGCTTTGATATCTTCAGTTGTGATTTCTGGACTGAGGTCTCCGACAAAGACGTGGAAATGGTCTTTGGGGGAAGGAGAGAGAGAGAGAGAAGGATTTAATGGTTGAAGATCTAATAAACTCCAGAATCCAAACTTCCCTGCAGAGCTCTGCACAGCTCGAGGCACAAGTGACACTTACTGCTGGTGTCTTTCTTCTGGCTGCTGGGGGTGGTGGCCCAGTTCACCTTGACCTCCTGCAAACAGCAGTTGCACATGTTAGATCCAGAAAACCTCAACCAAATCTCAACCCAGAACTTAACCCTGACCCTGCAATGGCTTCCAAATGTCCTATGGGAGTGTCAGGAGGACAGGGACAGACTGCTACCAGTGGCGCTCAGTGACAGCATATGGGGCACAAAACTGAAACAGCAAGTTCCACCTGAACATGAGGAAGAGATAAGGGGAAACCTTCCCCTGAGGGTGACAGAGCCCTGGAACAGGCTGTGCAATCTCCTTCTCTGGACACCCCTGTGCAACCTGCTCCTTTGGCAGGGGCCTGGATGGGATCATCTCCAGAGCTCCCTTCCAACCCCAACCACTCTGGGATTCTGTGCTTGCCCTTCCCTCCCAGTCCCACATCCCGTAACAGTCTCAGCTGCTCTCCCCAGCCGTGTCCCTCCTGATCCTGCAGGGTATCCACCTTGTCCCCATTGGAATTCCAGCCCCCAGAGCCCTGAGTCAGCCTGTCCCCAGCTCCAACTCACCCTGTAGAGACGACAGCTTACCTTACCCATTATCTTCCTGCCGTTCATGGCAGCCAGCGCCGCGGCCGCGTGCCGGTGCTCGTAGAACTCCACGAAGCAGTACGGGTCGTTTCCAGCTGTCTGAGACAAAGAAAGGACACAGGATCAGGGAGACCAACCTCCTCAGGCTGAGCTCTGGCTGTCCTGCCTGATTCATCACACCCCAACACCCCCAAATGGAAGTTTTTTTCACTCCACAGGGACTACACTCCGGGCGCTAATGATGCTCCCAGAGGTTTCGTTCTGCTTTAGGAAGGTAAAATTATGGCAAAGAGCTTGAAAAGTCTAATTCCCACGTGATTTCACCTGCTCATTCCCTCTCACCCACCCTGGGATGTCACACCAGGCACAGGGCAGAAATGATGCCCCAAGCATAGGGCCTTATGACATCCCTTTGATGTGGTCATGACCTGTTTCCAGTGGAATTCCCAAACACACAAGTACAGCCCTGACCCATGAGGAACAAGGAAATCATCCAAGGAAGGCTCTTACATCCATGATCATTTTGCAGTTCTTGCATGGTCCTATCTGGCTGAAGAGCTGGAGGATCAGAGCCTCAGTCACGTCCCTGGACAGGTTCCCCACGTACCTGAGAATCAAACAAAGGATGGATATGGATACAGGTCACACTGAGAGATGGAGAGGCACTTGGACAAGGGCCTGGAGTGCTAGGACAAGATTGCTTCCCGCTGCCAGAGGGCAGGATTAGATGGGATGCTGCTAAGGAATTCTTCCTTGTGAGAGTGGTGAGGGACTGGGTTGGAATTCCCAGAGCAGCTGTGGCTGCTCCATCCCTGTAAGAGCTCCAGGCCAGGTTGGATGAGACTTGGAGCAACCTGTGCTGGTGGAAGGTGTCCCTGCCCGTGACAGGGTGGTGGGAACTGGATGGGCTTTAAGGTCTTTCCAAGCCAAACCATTCCATGACTCTATGAACCTGACCTAGCAAACTGATTTCCACACACAGAACCAGTGGCTCTGATATCCATACACCATCACCATTCCCTCGAACACCATTCCCAGCTGCTCCAGCAGCTCAGCCTGGTGTAACACAACATCTACTCAGCTCCTTTCAAAGGGCTCAGCTTTTGAAAGCTTCAGATCTGCCTGCAACAACCAAGGGCCAACATGTCCACACTCCCTCACCCTCCATTTGTAGGGATCAGCCTCCCCGAGCACAAACACAACCCAAATCCCTTTTCCCACCTGGGATTTTGGCTTTCTCAGCCACTACCACCATCCATGACCCACAGGTAGGTGTTGTTGTTGTTGTTGTTGCTAAGCCCAAGTCATGGGATCTTTATAAAAAGCACAGAGAGAAACCTCAGCCCCCAAGGTGTGGCAGGAGCTTTCCACAAAGGAATGTTCTGTGGGAAACCTCTGCCACAGGAGCCTTGGCCAAATCTCACCACTGAAACCACATGGATGCACCTGCAATCCACACTGCTAGGGGTGTAAAGGTGGTGCAGGAAAACAACCAGGCAGCAACAGCAGGGTCTGCTCGTGCTCCTGCTGCTGCCACGGGGCCTGGGACCTGCTGGAGGGAGGTGGCCCCGGTTCCGGGTTAGCCATGAGGGAAGGAGACACGGAGTCTGGATTGCTGTCAGAATGGATCTACAGGAGCTCTGCATGAAGAACTTTTTGGGTGACTCTTTCAGTCACCCAACCCGTGACACCCACTGGTGACAATTCCCTGGGTGACCTGAGAAAGTCCCTGGGTTGGAGTCAGGGAAATCCCACCCTGGGATGTTGCTCAGTCCTCAGCTGTGCTCAGAACCTGGATGTGTTTTAAGGCTGGAACAGACAATCCTGGAGGTCTTTTGCAGCCTCAGGGATTGTGAGTGGCACGAGCCACACGTGCCCCAGGACACAGACCTCATTCCCTGGAGCACACCCTGAGCTGAGCCCACCAAACTCCAGACAACCACTTCATTGGGATGGGGGAAAACATCTCCCTAAACAAATACACAAACACACCAATGGGTCTGACCATGTTTGCAGACGCCAGGAATAGCTCCAGAAACGTGGGAAGACACTGGGATTGTACACACTGAGTGGTCAGTGCCCAGGAGGGATGGGATGGGGCATGGCACAATCATGTTTTCTTGTGGTCACTCAGCCAAGTCGTGTCTCAGCCCCAGGGCAGGTGCACCAGTCCAAGGGCACAGCATTCCCTTGCCTTGGAATGATTCCCTGTCCATCCTGTCTTCCCTACTGCTCTGGAGAAGGGAACTTTAGAGGTGGAATGGGATGACTGGAGCCTGATTTCCCTGATATAAGTGAGGGAAACCACTGCAGGTAAGACTTGCTTGGGAAAAGCAGGAAAACACACAACTCAGGTGTGCCCAGGAGCTCTGCTGGGCCTGGAAAACAGTGTCAGGTGTGCCCAGGAGCTCTCCCATGTCCCATGTCCTCATGTGAGCTGGGATGGATTCGGGAGAGGACACACACACCTTCCAGACCCTGTTCCCTCCAGGTGTGAGCTGGGATGGATTTGGGACAGGACACACCTTCCAGACTCTGTTCCCTCCAGGTGTGAGCTGGGATGGATTTGGGACAGGACACACCTTCCAGACTCTCTTCCCTCCAGCTGTGAACTGGGATAGACTAGGGACAGGACACACCTTCCATTCCCTTTTCCCTCCAGGTGTGGGCTGGGATGGATTAGGGACAGGACACACATTCTATTCCCTTTTTCCTCCAGGTGTGAACTGGGACAGACTGGGGAAAGGACACACATTCCATTCCCTTTTCCCTCCAGGTGTGAACTGGGACGGACTGGGGACAGGACACACATTCC